AAATCTGCCAATTCTTGCTCTCATCAATTTTAGACTCAATTTTTTGCACTCATCTGAAAACTCCTTTTCCTATCTATATATTGACGTGTAATTCAATTATTGAATAGAACTGTATATTTGGAAAATTCACTATTTTTTTCTCTGTCTCTCCCTTTCCCTCTCGACAGCTATAATCCGAAATAGTGGCCAAAATGTGTCTCAACAGCAAAACTACTGTTTATCTTCAAATTTTCTTTTACAACTTTATTCACGTCCTCTCCCTTTCCCTACCATTCCCTCTCTCACTCACTCACACACACACATAGAGAGCTGATGTTGGGCTCAAAATTTTGTGTTTGATTTGTTTTTATCATCCCTTTCCTTCAACTCTAAACTATATTTCTTAACTATTTCACTGTATATATACTGTATATAACATTATATTTCTATGATGTAAGCGTTTGCGCTGCACTTTAGACTCCTTTCTCTTTATAAGTTTCTCTCTTTCTTTGACTTTTGGTTTGTATAGAAATTTTGTGATGAATTGCTAAAAATGTCAGCGTTTGGACTTAGATTGGAATTATTGAAGTGATCAATATTTCATAATCTGTTGAGAATTCAAACATTTTTCATTGATATATATATTTCATATATATATACATGTTTGCATAGCTGAGTAGAGCCTTGCATTGAACACTATTTCCATTTTGAAACAAACCTATTGCACCTAAACTATTCATATTAAAGCTGTTCATGAAACTTTGCAAATCCATAAATGCTTGCAATGGTCTTGAACACACTTTATATATATATTTTATTATATATATATTTACATTCATTCATATATTCAGCAATTTATATAACATATTATTAAAGATCCCTGAACATAACTGATGTCTAATTTATTTTGAAGAATATTTAATTTGTTTAATATTTATAATATATATATACTGTACGTCCAAAAGGGCATTGCGAGTGACGTTCCGTTTATTCTGTAAAATGTCATAATTTTGAGGCTCAAGAAAATGAGATGTAGTGTTGTTTTAAGACCTGTTTCTGTTGTCTCAATGTATTTGTTTGTGTTTTTCATGCGAATGAATGAATCAAATAAAAACGAGTCGACAAAATGAGATGTGAATGCTTTTGATGCAAACGCTTTTTGAATGTAGAATAATGTGAAATAATGTGAAATAATGTGTAAATGAGAATTCAATTCAATTACGCGTTATACAGCTTTTGTCATAACGTTATTCATATATTTTGTAACTTTTCTACAACTTTTAGCAAATCTGCTGTTTTTTAAAATAATTATAATATTCATAATAAGGAGAGAATAAAACGCCGTTTTATGCATGAATTTGCATTAATATGCACTTAACAGTCTGTCATTGTTAACATGTATAGTGTATTAACATTATATTATATAACTAAAAACAGTATAAATTGTATTTAATTAACGCATTGAGTGTGTGTTATAATGATTAGATGATGGGGTTATGGCATTGGGCTATAATTTAGTAATAATTAATTAATTCTATACTGAATACAACTCTGAAATATAATTTGATTTATCTTTTGAAATATATCTACAATTAGTTTTATAATAAAATGTTCATATAATCAGGATCAATTAAATGGACTACAACCTAAAGCCAGTGTCATTTACCCCAATAGCCATTGGGAGGAATGTTTTTCCTACTACTCATAGTCTGCTGTCCGGATGGGGTCGACGGCGGGTGCGGGTAGTGGTGTCCGTGATGTCCGGTCGCGTGACAGGAGGTGGCGTGACATGAGTGCCACGACGTGGAAGGGGGCGCACCCACGCTGGCCACGGAGCCCATCTCGGCGTCGGATCCATTGCCACCGGCCTCCTCCTGCATCTTCATCTGATTGGCGTAGAACTCCCAGAGCCGGGACACTATCAATGTGGCCATAATTGAGCCGTGATTGTGCTCGATCAGCCGCAACACAAACACCCCGTCCCAGCCGAGGTAGTTGGCCGATATCTTGCGGGCCAGACGCCCCACTTCGGCCATACCTACGAGTCTAGTCCTCCAGAGGCACAGCCGTACGTACGCGAGTCGGTTGCAGCGGAACGTACGCCATATCCAAAAGATAAGACTAATGATGTTTAAAGGCATAAGAAATGCCAAATAAAACCAGACGACAGAGAAGATCTTCTCGTTGAACACATTGATAGGTAGTACACACTGACACGTGTAGGTGCGGAGGCCTCCCTGGATGGCGGCGCGCACTTGGCACAGGGTCTGCAGCGGGAACCGGGGCGACGCCCACCAGTCGCCCTCCACAGCGAACCGGCGAATGAGTTCGAGTCCGTGTCGGAGGAAACCCCGTCCCATGAATGAGCCCAACAGTGCGAACTGGAGTCCCACGTTCAGCACATACAGTGTCTTCACCATAAGGTACAGGAGGCACAGGTAGCGGCTCGGCCCGCCCACACAGCATCGGCACGATAGTGGCAGTCGGCACGACGGGTCGGTGCACCAGCCGGCCTCCCCTGTCACCAGCGTATGGAATTGGTCCACAAACTCGGCCAAAAGGGCCTCTCGTTGTTGACAGCCCGGGGGCAGACTCGCGATGTCCGACGCCTTCTTCAGCAGTCGCCGCAGTTTCACACCAGCGTTATGAGCACAGGAGTTCCACACGAGGAACGGCACGTAGAAGCAACAGCCCTGCACCAGCAGGATCAACGGCGCCCACTGGTAGTACCCCACCCGCACCCGACGCAACCGCTCGGGTCCGGTCGAGGCCACGTCGAAACCGCCGTAATCTAACTCTTCTGGAAGTACTCGCGGATCGGGTGGATCCTAGTGGTGGTCATAGTGTGGTGGAGGTGCAGGTGGACATAAATGGTGGGGTGAGTTAGCATAGGGTTAGGTTTAGTTAGAGTTATGCCATCATTCATACGAGTCTATGGAGTCTATGAGCGCTTTCCGGAAGTAATTATATTTATTAAAGATATTTAAATTGAATGCAATTCTAAATTAGAAATGTTTTTGCGGAGGAATGGTAGCTAAAAGTTTGAATGAAATTAATTGATCGCTTCTCTCATCACTATAGGGATGGGATGGGAAAGGAATGTTCACTTTCGGTGTATTGGCTGTAATTGTCAAGTTTTGGTCAATTTTGTGTAACATTGTTGTACTGTATATAAAATGAGAGCACATTTTATGAGATTTTAATGAATTCATGAGTTAAGCCTTTATTCTGTGTATTCAATAATTGAATGCTTAATAGAATTGAGTTAAACTTGAGATTAATTCTGTACACAAAAGGATGCTTTTGAACGCTATTCGCTCAGTTGAGAGACATTTAGACTGAATGTCACTTTTACTTCGCGTCTTAAGCCCGGGCTTTAGCGCCACTCTTCATATAATAAGATATTTATAATAAACGAAAATTCAGACTCTATTATACGTTAGTGTAATGTATACTCTGTATATGAAAACACCATATAATGTATACTCTGTACAATTCCTGACTATGTTTCTCGTCGACGGTTATTGTTGTTTGCAATTTAGGGACAGTTGTCTCATAGGACGCTATAAATATAAGTTAAGGTGTCATCGCAATGAGTTGCAATGAAATTAAAATCTAATTTATGTTTTTGCTAACTCTCGTATTGTATTTCATTTTGTAAATTATGATATATTTATGAGTTGAGACATTGTTTGCAATTTAGGGCCAAAAATTGCTACAAAAATATGAGATGAGAGTCATAAAAGTGACACAACGCTGTACGACAAACTTAAATAGTGTTCAAACAACACATTATATGGCAATCATTGGCACATAATCTCAGCAATGGTTAGGTTTGATATTTTAAAGCAAAACTGATTGGCTTTTCAAACGACATTGTATACTAAATCTTCTCAATCGTATAATGAGTTTTTAGACTTTTATCAGATTTAATGGTTACTAACTTTTGTAAAAAACATCAAAAGATCGTTTCTGTCAGTAATTAATTTGTTTAGCAATAGAAATGCTCATTAAATATACGAATATAAGACTGGAATCAAAGGTTTGGGAAATAAATTAATTTCTAATGGATTCAGATTTTGGGGAATAAATTTGTGGCAAAGGATTGCAAGGGATTCATGATTTGTGATACAAATATTATGGCAGCGAAACATGGATTAAGTCTTTATTGTTATTGACGTTAGACTCGGAGTTCGGGTCACTTAAAGAATTACTGTTGAGAGGAGTTGGAGGACTCGACTAATTATTTATTTATATCAATGATATATAGCTGAGGCATATCAAGCAGATGAGAGGCATACATGAGCCGAAAACCATGAGAACACAGGCAGATAAGGGCTGAGCTCTACTCCTTTCGCTGCTTATTATTTATTTAATATGTAAGCGAAGCTGAGGTACAATAAGAAAGTAATCGCGAGTTGCAAACAAACAAACTTAGACTTCAATTGCAATGCACACCAAACGGAGCGCAAAAGGGCTGTCCATTGAGACACATACGCAGCCATCAAATTGAAGTTCAGGTAAAGTTATACTCATTTGAATGGTTTGAGTGAAAAACATCCTTTCGTAAGATAAAACATTAGCCCTTTTTATAGTAATCATATCATAGAGAATGTAATGTAATATCACTTAAACCATAACAATGAGAGGCTTTTATTTGAATGAAGAACTATTTCGTTGGGAACCGTTGTTTTCGGTGGTTTTGAGGGCTGATCATTATAACTGGGTTTATGGCCTAAACATAAATATTGCACGAAATGACAGACTAAATGCCATTCTCTTATGAATGACATCAATGGTACACTGAATGAAGGTATATATCCATAGCCATAGCCACGACTATACTGTACTCTCATAAACATACAACCGTTGACCACATCTATAGCCGCAGTTATAGTCGAAAGCTTCAGTCAAACACCATTTGAGACCATTTTTTACTCTTCTTAATGTTGTTTTTTGTGTTTAATATAAGTTTGTGTGTAAAGCCTTTTGTTTGGCGTTTAAGGACTGTTAAGATTTGTTCAAATATTCACTGATTTTCTGTTATTGATATTCTTAAAGCTCCGGAAATTCAAGTACTGGAGGACTGGCAGAGGACTGGAAAAGGGACTTAAATGAGAGGAGATATAGAAAGAGAGCTTTGAGTGAAATATTAATATTATATTCAATAATATGAAGTGCTTTATATGTTCACTCAAAACAAGTTGAATGCTTTGAATGCTTCTCTAAATTGTATAGTTTTGCAAAATAAATGAGAGTAAGAGCTGAGAGAACCGTAATGTTATGTGTGTTGTGTGTGTATTGGGTTGGGTGGGGAACGGTATGAAAATGATAAAAGAGTAGAGAAAGCAGTGCAATAATGATGAGAGGGATGAGTGCAATCTCATGAGCGCTGATAACTATAGACTCGTAATAATTGATGACATGAGTGATGGTCGTCGTCGTCGTGGCTGTCTTTCTCTCGCACTCTCTCTCTCTCTCTCTCTCTGGAGAGAGAGAGAGAGAGACAGACAGACAGACAGACCGACAGACCGCTCGCATACCTGTCCCGTGAAGCCATCGTAATCATCGTCGTCGGCGTCAGCGGCCACGAGATAATAAGTGGAAGCCGTCCAGCAGTAAGAGTTGACATACCGTGCCTGGGGTTCGGTGAAGTAGGTGGGCGTAAAGCATTCAATGGGGTCTCCGATGTACTGTTTGGTGAATATGGGCAGAGCCAGGAAGAGGAAGACTAAGAGTGTGTATTTGCGGTTCAGTTTGTCCACACCGTCGTCCACCGGAACGTGAATTCCGCCGATAAGATCGTGAAACCTGTGAATGACAAGCAGACAGGGGGCCAAACAGGTACGTGTCGTTCAAAGCACATATAGGCACACCGAGAGTACAACAGGGAGGTAGGCACACACCGAGGCACATTTTTTAAGGCACGATACGCACCACCATCGACCACATCATCACAGCACCGACAGGCCACAGTACAGTCAGTACAAACAAATACAAACAAACATTGAGCGCTCAACACAACTGAGCCGAGAGTATCATAAGCATAGACATTACCATTACAATACACTGAGACATTGCATTACAATTAGCATTAAGTCATCACATGTAAGACAAAAGTAAGACAGTAGAGCACAAACAGTTAGATACAGTCAGTTCAGTGTTGCCACACTCTCTATCGTCACTACACTTTAAGCTCATATTAAATGCAATGCATTTTCATATCTGTAAGCTATTATTAAAATAAATATCTCTCCAGTAATCATAACAATCGTAAAAAATAACGATAAGAGTATCGCAAGACTGCAATAACAGTAATAAAGCGAGAAAAGCATAGATATAGCGATTAGAGTATAGCTTAGCATAGAGTGTAGAGTATAAGCGAGAGCTGGAGAAACACCCGAACACATAGTAAAACAGAGAGCGGACAGGCAGTCGGGCAATGGGACAGCCTTATCATCTAGCATCTAGACTAGCCACTATGAATGAACACATAGGACCTTGGTGGTTTGTACACGGGGACACTGACACTACAGACAGTGATAGTAAGAAAATGATTACGTACTGCACTAACCGGAAGAGAAAGGACATGGTTGATGGCTCGTGTGGCCTTGATCCAGTAAATCCCTTTGACAGCTCCAGGACCGCAATATAGCGAACACAATCAACTCAAATAAGCGGCAAAGTCGGTGACACGAGTGGGACGAGAGGGTCTCAATGGGTCGGCGACTCGTCTCTGTCTCGTCGATCTGATCGGTAGACAAATCACTCAATCCGTGAGAAGAGAGTCTGTTGTCGTAGATGGCAGTGACGGGCACTGATAGCACTGGTAGTGGCGTTGATAGGAAAATGTCTTTTCTGTCTTTTGGCAGTGAACTCGACTGGCAGTGAAGTAAGTGTTGAGTTGGGACTCGATTTCGCGACTTCTTCTTATTATTGGTATAAAAATTATGATGAGTTGGTGTCAGACAAATGCATGTCTTCACGGATATATTGCCAAACGGTTTGCACTTATTAACTTTTCTGCTTCTTTCCAATGATTGCGATGAGAATGAAGTGTTAGTTGTGTTCAGAGACAGATGGAAATGGAGTGCAAACGCATTCATGGCCGCCAACTCTTAAGCATCTATGCATCGGTTCAGCACTTCTCCAATTAATACGGATCTCTCGGCTGTCTGTACAGCTGTTGGCCTGTCGTATGACTGTTGAGGATGTATTGGACTCGACAGCCGATCTGTCGATGAAGAGATGAGATGAAGATATCACGACAATTGCATCTAATTCTAGTCACCAGTCGTTAGATGACAATCAATTCAATACTGAAATATATAAGACAATACGACAACATGAATAAACATATCCAATGAATACAATGCTCTAAATGCTAAATGCATTAAACAAGTCTCAGTCAAAATACTAATCAACTCTAATTTCTCTCTCTCTCTCTCTCTCTCTCTCTCTCCCTTATTTCAAACACCAAACCAAATAAATAATAGCTAGCGTTTCAGTGGGAAAATATTTTTTATGTATTCAATAATTGATATGTCGTTAGCATATATAAAAAGAGAGAGAGAGAGAGAGAGAGAGAGAGAGTAACGATGCAATGAGTTTTGACAATAACTGATGGAATAATATACCGGTTATTCTCCCTATAGTGTACTCTAAGAGTACAGTATATATGTGTGTAAATGCATTGGATGTGTATGTGATGTGATCGTAGAGATGGTATCGTTTTATTGAAGTCGTGATAAAAAGGCCATTGGATTGAGTGTTTGCCTGTTTTTAAGGTCTCTCTCTCTCTCTTTCTCTCTCTCTCTCTCTAATGTTTTGCTAATTTAAATAAAAGTGTGTCGTATTTCCTGACTAAATGCAAAAACAGAGACAAAAAAGTGATGATTATAAGCAATTGGAATAAAGGCAAACACATAAGCAATTGTGTTTAAGCCCTATTGCAATAATAATTATTGTTTGTCGCAATGGTTTTCAATATGAGATTTTGTCCGTTTTTGCTTAATTTATTTCCAACACGTATTGCATCAAAACCATTGAGTATTCAGTCTCTCTGAATGTGAATCCATCCAAAAAGAAATCCATTGAATCAAAAGCTCGTCTGCAAAAGGCGTGCAAACCCTCTAATTTTCTTTACGGCTTAAACTCAATGGCTATAACTCTTTGCGCCGAACAAATGGCAACCAATACTTCAATATCTAAACAATACAATTGCCAGAGAGAGAGGGAGAGAGAGAGAGAGAGAGAGAGATTTTAACTATGCCTTTGCCATTAACTCGCGATTGGATTTTATTAGTCTATTCTATTGACCTCTATTTTGGTCCTAAATATACAATATTATAGAAAATAAATTATTACTCGTTTTTTATGAGCACTTGAATTGTATTTTATATATTATGGTCGAAAACAGAATAATAGTAAATATCTAACACAGAGTATAGTGTAGTATTATTTGAGAAAATTTTATTTCATTTGTTTGGATATGAGTTGAACACAAAGACATGAAATTGTGTTAAGAGTTAAGTGAATATATATATAAAAAGTAAAGGAAAGGAAGAATAAGTAAAAATAGTGGTTATAAAGCAGAGCATACCATAGCAGACGAGAGAGAGAGAGAAATTAGAGTTGATTAGTATTTTGACTGAGACTTGTTTAATGCATTTAGCATTTAGAGCATTGTATTCATATATTATTTTTCCTAAAAGCACATTATTTTCATACTTCCTTTTTGCATGAAATACCGCATAATTCATGCAAAATATTTATAAGCAAAGAAAAATAGATTACAGATAAGAGAGAGAGAGAGAGAGAGAGAGTAACGATGCAATGAGTTTTGACAATAACTGATGGAATAATATACCGGTTATTCTCCCTATAGTGTACTCTAAAAGTACAGTATATGTGTGTAAATGCATTGGATGTGTATGTGATGTGATCGTAGAGATGGTATCGTTTTATTGAAGTCGTGATAAAAAGGCCATTGGATTGAGTGTTTGCCTGTTTTTAAGGTCTCACTCTCTTATCCCAATCTGCAACAACACAATTCCCTGTTTCACGACTTAATAACAGTGACGCACGACTTGTGAGAAGACAGCGCCGACAGGAAAGGCTAAAGAATGGATGATTATGGCTCTGATATGTGGCCCTCACTCCTGCCTTATATACACTCCACTCTCACTACAGAATATTCTACAGTATTTGCATTCATTCACTTCAATATTCATATTCTATACACACAATCAATATTTCATAAATATAGTCACCACTCATCTAATATTTATATAATAAATGAATGAAATGATCTATTATTGAGTTTATTCAACAAAAAGCCAAATATCTGAATATCTGCTCTCATTTTCTTTTCATAAATAATATTTTTTTGTGAAAATTATTTTTAATTCTAATTTTATGTTTTTAATATAATATATTGTATTCACATAATGGTATAAATGCATACATATTATTATATTATTTTTCCTAAAAGCACATTATTTTCATACTTCCTTTTTGCATGAAATACCGCATAATTCATGCAAAATATTTATAAGCAAAGAAAAATAGATTACAGATAAGAGTCATATATAAATAATAATAATATATAAAATATCAATAATGGTAAAACATTTGCACTAATTTGCAAACTAATTATATTCCTCATAGATTTAAGATACGTTAAGAGTATTTATTAAAATTTATGATTATTATATTATGTTATATTGTTTGATTCATGATTTTAATTAAGATATTTCTATTTCCTAGTCTCACTATTTATGGATCAAAAATGTAAATAAAATACATTATTTTGTTTACGATAATTGACTTTTCGTTAGATTCAGAAAAAATGGACTAACGATCGGAAATGTAATTAAAAGCAAAAATATTAGTCTATTTTTGTTGTAAATTCACTGCTATATTGTCTGCCAATCGATTGTGTCTCCAGACGTATAGTGAATTAAATATAGATTTTGAATTATAATTGCAATTAAAATAATGCCTTTAATTGATTTATCGATTTGCGTCCAAAAAGTGCACAAAATTTAATTCATAATAAAACATTAGTCTCTCGCAACGATTTTTAAAATGCATAGCAATTTTTCTATGTTGAAAAAAATTCAAAACCAATTAATTTAAGTAAAGATTTGCGAATAAAAATATTGATTTTAATAATACTTTGAGATCAAGACTTAATCGGAATAGCAGTGAAGCCGTTGTTGTGATAAATTCGTATCAAAGCTTATGTTTTGTACTCTATATTGAGAGCTATAAATAGAACATACATTTCACAGCACACACTGAAAGTGAGAGTATGTGTGCCTCTGCTCTATGATGCCAGTGCTCTCTACCAGTGCTCTACCAGTGCTCTACTGCTCTACCATCTCTACAAACACCACCATCACAGCAAACGCCAACTCTCTCTCTCTCTCTCTCTCTCTCTCTCTCTAAATCAAGAATTTCTAGTAAAGCCAAAGGCATTTGAAAGCAAGAGTTGAGCCGTTATTCCGTTATTCGTTTAGCAGATAAGGGACAGACGATATTGTAGTGCACAAGCTTTGACTCAAAAACAAGATTCAAGAATCCAAATAAATTCTCTCTCTTTTTGTACTCTTTTTATATTGGGTTAAAAGAGCACAGAGAGGAAGGAGAGAGAGAGAGAGAGAGAGAGAGAGAGAGAGAGAGATCTGACATGTATGACCGCTACCACAGTGTATATAATAGAAAAGGCTATACATTACTTCATATTTTGAGGCACATTTTCATTGATTTTTTGCCAATATATGTGACTTCAATGTCTCTATGTATACACTGTTGAGGCTATTCTCACGCAAATAATTGCACACAATCTCTACCTGAGCAGACAGACACACATACACTGCAGACAGTGAGCTGGACAGAGGCCATGAGATATAGAAAAAAAAACTAATGTTTAGCACAATATTGAAGAACTGAATGCTTGCGGAAAACAGAAAGAGTGAAGAATGGAAAGAGAAGTTTGAAAAGCATTACAACACAATTGTTTGGCTTTTGTTATTCTTCACAACCAAACTAATAGTCTCTATATATTGTCGTTTCTTCTCTCCATTCTTGTCTCTCATATCATTCTCTCATTCTTAGGACAAGGGGTTATTGACCCAAATATTCTGTCAAATTCTTTCTATTATATAATCATATTGTATGAGAGATAAGGGATAACAAGAAAAGAGTTGTTTCACATAATTTGCAAAAAAAGAAAGACTTCTCAAATCTTTTATAGACTTTTTTTGAAAGTCACAGATTTTTGTACACAACACAAAAGTTTTTTTTCTCTCGTTTGGCATTTATTTATGTGAAAAACAGACAACATTTTAATGTCGTGTTCTCTCTATTCGACGAATCAATTTGCAAATAAAACTTATCTTTAAAAGCATTTCATTAAAAAACTTATTTTAATTACTTTAAGAAACTTTTATAGTCTCTCAAACTCTCTATAGAAAAAGTGCAGATAAAATGCAATCTAAGATACGGGTGTATAATAATTGATAAAACAGAGCGTATAATAAATTATTCATTAGTCTGTATTCAAATTAAAAGTCTTAAAAAGTCAACCTTTTAAGGAATGAATATAATTACAAAAACTGATTACTTAAACCAATACATTAGACAACTCTTTAGACACATAATCGGAGTTTAGAAAAGTGTAATTCATTCACACCATTGTTTTCTATTTGGTGAAAGTGTTAACAGTTTTTATCTCTTTGAGTATAAAATCAATCACACCTTTCATTCAATTAAAGCCCAAATGATATATAAGTTAATATTTAACGATGTATTCATGCAATTGTATCACACAGAATATCTATAATACCATATAAGTCTTTAAATTATTAAAATTTAATTTTGCACTTTATTTGTTTTATAACTCGTTTAAAATAAAGTGCTTCCTATTTAAGTAATAACTGCAATACTGGTAATAAAAACAACAAATAATGTTTTGAGAGAGAATTTCTCTCTCTCTCTCTCTCTCTCTATGTTGTGATTCTTTTGAATAATTCAAGTGTAGAGTAATTAGTGGTTGATATGAATATATTATATTATAGTTATTATAGTTTGGCTTTTGTTA